TAAATGACAGGTAAGGGGTGGGGGTGGGGGGGTGGGAAGCTGGTTTCAATTTCCCACCTTTCTCCTAATTAGCTTTTAAATTGAACGCAGCTTCTATTTGAGAAAGGTGAGCTGGCTTTTGTAAAGCAGCAGATAGAATTTGCCACCTGCTATGGTTTAAGGTTTTGGCTGAGAAAACAAAATAAGTGTGAGAACCTAAGTGCCTGGCCTAGTGAGAACTAGCCAGCTAGCTCAGAAAACAGACAGGAGAGAGGCAAGGAGGGGCCCTGGGTCAGGACAAGAAACTCTAGGCTCGGATCAGCCCCTTACTTGCATTTTCGTGTGGTGTCCAGTACCTGTGGGTACATGACCTGGCTATGGGAAGCACAGATAGAAACAACAGGGGAGCCCTCAAATTTAAATGAGGGCCTCTAGGGGGGAGAATCTTAACAACCCCAGCCAGCATCTCCTGTTCTATCCTCCCAGGTTCTCCCAGCCCAGGTCCTCTCTGTCCTCTTCTATAATCTAATCCACTCTATCTAGGCTCTCAGTTGCCCAGAGTACCACCTGCCCCATCATTGATTTGAACCTTTGATAATTACCTGTTGTAATACCTTTTGTTTTTATTTTTATTTTTCGGTACTGGGTATTGAACTCAGAGGAATTTTATCACTGAGCCACATAACCCAGTCATTTTTTTAAATCTTTTATTTTGAAACAGGGTCTTGCTGTATTGCTGGGGTTGGCCTTGAACTTGGGATCCTCCTGCCTCAGCCTCCAGAGTCCTGCGCCACCATATCTGGCCCTTTTGTTTTTAAATAATAGGATTTTTAAATTATAAAAGCAGTGCATATTTATATAAAAGGTTTGGGAAATCAAGTTGTAAAGCAGTTGACTTCTGGCTGTTTTGGAAACTTCTAAGAACAGCAATGCACACAGAGAAGTGGAAAAGGCTCTATCAGCTCCCTAGTGCCCTTTCTTATTTCCCAGAATCCAGCCACAGTTCATGGACTGCACTGGAAACCCCAGCTTTGCCATGTGACCCTGTGAATAAAGTCTTTTTTACACAGGAGAGTTCAAATGTAGATACAGAGACTATTAAAGAGACTCCTGTTGCATTGACTTAGAAATCAGTGCAGGGCCAAAGGACAATGACACCAATATTCACTGTCTGAAAGAAAGGTGGTAGTTTGCTATGAATATGGGAGATCACACCCTCTTCTTCCTGCCATGGTAGAATGTAGTGTTGTGATGGGACATTGTGTGCCTCTTGGAGAAACTGCAGGAAACAGAGTCACCAAGCTCATAATCTTGCACAACAACATATTGTTATCTGAGTATGGGAGATGGGGTGCAGAGATGTAGAAGCCATCCATCTGGGGGTGGCTTGGTTAGACCTGGGGCAGCTGGAACCCCTGGCTGTGAGTTGCCTCTTATACTGACTCTCGTTGCTGTACAAGTATTAAATTTTTTCTGTATGTGTCATGATGTGACAAAGGTTGGGAAGCATGGCTCTGTTCAATAGATTGATTGTACGAGAGGAAAGATAAAGTTTGTGTTAGCAAGCTTTCTGTTATTCTGACAAAACACCTGAGATAATCATATAAGGAGGAAAAGATTGATTTTGGCCTCAGAATTTCAGAGGATTTCAGTCCACGGTAGCTTGTCCCTTTTGCTTTGGGACTGTGGCAAGGCAGAACATCATAGCGGGGAGCATGTGTTAGAACAAAGCTTCTCGTCTCATGGCAGCTGGAACATTAAAGAGAGAAACAGAAGGAAGCCAGGTTCTGAAAGGTTCCAACTCCCAGGAGTGCCTTAGGCTAGAGACTAAACCTTCAACACAAGGGCCTTTGGAGGACACTGAAAATCCAAACACATCCGGAAGTCACTTGAATAAATCTTACAAACTGATAGGACTTTGTAGATTACATCTTGCCCAGCCTTCCATTGCATGCACATTTTGCACAGATGATCGTCAGGTGGATTCCACCTGATGGGAAAGTCAATGCTTCAGAGAGACTCCTACCTTTTATGTGCAACTCTAAATTTTATAAAATTCTTCATTTTATTGAACCAGACATTTCTCCAATTAAAGTTCATTATAATATAATGGCAATATTGATTTGACTTTTCTGATCCATAAATTTCCATTTACTTCCCTATAATTCCCACACTTTGACCTGATTCTGTCCTTTGAACCACGTAGAAGAAATTTGTACTCTATCATAAGTGGCAGCCCTTCTGACATTGCCCTTCCTATAGGAGTTTTGTTTTAATAAAAGACTAATTTTTAGAATAGTCTTAGATTTACCAAAAAAAAAGAGAGAGAGATAAAAGTTTCCACACACTACTCCCCACCATGTACCCAGTTTCCTTTATTATTTATATCTCATAGTGCATTTGTTATAAATAATGAACCAATATTGATATGTTATCATTAACCAAACTCCATACTTCATGCAGGTTTCCTTAATTTTTACCTAATGTCCTTTGTCTGTTCCAGGATCCTGTATTACATTTAGTTGACATGTCTCTTTAGTCTCTCTTGGCTCTGACAGTTTCTTAAACTTTTCTTGACAGAGCTTTATCCCAAGCCACCTGGACATGTGCACACACATGCACACATACACATAAATATTTCTACATGTAGCCATATGTATCTATATTAACTTAAACATGAGCTAAATCTCCAACTATGGTCCATTGTAACATGATGGTAATATTGATTAGACTTTTCTGATCCATAAATTTCCATTCCAACAAAGAGAAACCTGGTTTCTACCATCTGCCTTTGACTTTTTGCGGGGATGCACACCAGGGATTGAACTTGGGGGCACTCAGCCACTGAGCCACATCCCCAGCTCTGTTTTATATTTTATTTAGAGACAGGGTCTCACTGAGTTGCTTGGTGCCTTGATATTGCTGAGGCTGGATTTAAACTTGAGATTCTCCTGCCTCAGCCTGGGATTATAGGCATTTACCACCCCACCCAGCAGCTGTCTACTTGTTAATTGTTGATTTCCAATATATGTATATGACAGTTACCATAATGTTAATCTATGAGAATTTCTCTTTTGTTTTATTCTTTTGTCAAGTTAAGCATCACAGCTCCTTTAGCCATCTTGTTCATCCTCCATCAATTTCATGGGAAATGAGCACAGATCACTTTCGGCATTTTGCGAATGAGGAAAATTGAACTCTATCACTCTTAACACATTCGAGGCACTAGTTGAAGTGTTGTGCACACATTAAGTCATTCTTCCTCACAACAACCTTATGAGCTTGTTAATGATAATATCCTCGAGTATTAGGAGGAGAAGTTAATGACTCGTCCAAATTCAGATAATTAATGAGCAGTGGAACTGGATTCAAAGTGAAAGAGTGTGACTTCCAAGTTCATGCCCTTGAGTATTGTCATGCCACACAGCTGCTGAAGGAATCTTTCTGAAGGACGGCTTTGCTTTGCACATACTGTGCAAACCTTCAGTGGTTCACATTTGCCCATAGGAGAAGACCGAGTTTCTTAGCCTAGCTTTCAATGCTTCTGCAACCCACAGCCAGCCCTATGCTCCAGCTTATCCTCTCTGAGCAGTGGAGACCCCTGGAACATGCCTGGATACTGTTGCTTCTCCTAATGAGCATGTCGTCTTCCCTTCCTCTCAGTCCAGACCAGCCCCATGCATTCCAGACGTCCCTTTCCCCTCCTCCTGGGCTCATTGTATTTGTGGTGGTATCTTCCTTTTTTTTTTTTTTTTATCGACACTTGACACTCACCGATGTCCTTTGTCTGATATTTAGTCTGGGCTGTATTTTGTTGATGTACTTTCCATTCATCTGTTGGTCTCTCCATGGCATCCTCAGTAAACCTACTTAATGAGAAGTTGGATTCACAATTGCAATGTTTCCTTAGATATCATCACAGTCTATTCATAGATAACCACATCGGCATGTAGTGCACATTAGCCAATTAACCCACGTGGTCTGAGACCATGGCCCGTGCTCTGTGAAATCTTCTCTCCCTCAGATTACCTTCATATTCCAGGAAGATTGAATATTCTAAATGCCCCATCAGTACCGCTCTGTGGAGGACTCAGCTGTGCTAAAGGACAATAAGTGTTGTACCTCAGTTGCCAAATTTAAAAGGGTCTGGCCCCCTGTATCTCAGCTTTAGATGTGCTTCCTGCAGGTCTCTAGGGAAGGTCTGGAAGAAAGAGAATGCTAAGTTTTGTTTCAAAGAACAGAACTTGTGTTCAAACTGAAGGCTGTTTGCTAAACTTTAGTTATTTCAGTGCTGCCTTCATAATTTTTGCCATATCTCGTGCTCCTTTAATTTTTTTTACTTAAATTCTGATTTCATCCTAAGTAATAACAACTGCAAAATCACATACTTAAAGTGCTTCTAATAGTTTTTCAAATGGATAGCAAAATAAATGCATAGCCATTAGGTGATTGTCTATCTACATCCTGCATGGAATTATGTCACCTACCCCTGTGGTGTGCTTACTACCTTGGAAAAAATTGTTCTAAGATTGTGGTCTTTTCCTCTCCACCCGTTTCTAGATGTGAAGCCTTTCTGATGAGAGCACTGGTGTTCAGGCTGAGCACCTGTATCCTGGCAGGTTCCACTAAGGCATCTTTGGGTATTTTGAGTTCTGGGCAAGACTAAGAGCATTTTCTTTCCTAAAGAGCAAGATAACATTAGCTCCACTTCTATTCCTTACCATCCACAAGGATGCTGGTTAAGACTGTGATGGAAGAAAGCATATATTGATTTTTTAAGGTGTGAAAATCATAAGACAAGTGGATCTATCATTAGCACTTCTGGAAAGATTATTTGTGGGTAGTAATTCATTTCATGCATTGAGTACTTCTTTGAGCTTCTTTGAACTCTTCCTAGCTTGGGATCAGGAAATCTGGCTTCAAGGATATCTTGCTTATTGTAAGGAAATGAAATAAAGGTCCAGGTGGCTTGGGATGAAGCCCTGTCAAGCCTTACTACACTTTTCTTCTACTTGACTCAGGTTGAAAATAAGCCTTTGGCTCAAGTCCAGAAGCCACCCTCCAAGATCAAGAACCTCAAAATGACCCGACTTTTGCATAAGGTAGGAAGTGTTGGTTAGTGACTTTAGGAAAGGACGAGGGCAGTGGATGGAAGAAATAGCTTTTTACAGGCACTTTTGGCCAACTCAGCATGACAATGAGAGCCCTCTATCCATATCACCATGCTTCTCTCCACACAGTTTTAAACATGGCTATTTGTTGATAGTTAGATTATCTCTTTCCCAATCAGTTAATCAATCAGTGTAGGAGGGCAGTGACCCAAGTGAGAAGATCAAGTCTATAAAGTAGCCGTAGAGGAAATGGGAGTTTTTGTTGCATCAAGAACGATTTGCATTGTATAGCAGAAAGGCCTTCCCCATGTTTGGAAGGTAAAATATTGGAATGAGAATAATAATGGCTCTCACTTATGGAATACTCTACATAGTTTCACAAAAGCTATGAGGTAGGTCCCATTTTTGAGAATGATGAAATAATTAAGGCTGAGAGAAAGAATCAGTGTGACCCATTCAGTGTCTACAGCTAGTGAGTGGTGGAATGGGAGAGTCAAGCCCAGATCCTGTCTGTTAGATTACTTTGCTCCTTGGAATCTTCTTTTTTTTCCCTCCAAGAATCTGGGTTTAGGCTCATCCTTGTTGTGGGGAGGAGTCTAGAAGAAATGACCTCTGGAGAATGTTCTTATCTGAGGTTTCTATACGTTATCCAATTTCTCCTTCTATAGGGTACAAACACCAACATTACTTCACTCCCTTTTATGGATACCAAGGAGAAGAAGAATGTGATCAACCTCCCACACATCAGCAACAAAATTCTGCTGAAGCCAGGTGTGCTGTCCCGGGTGAGTACAGGGCAGCGGACATGCTCTTGAGCAGACAGGTGAAAGACCTAGCTTCAGTTCAGAACCACATCTAGAAAAGTCCAGGAAGGTGGGGGAAAGGAGTAGCAGCTAAAGAGTTGGGTCCAAGTCCTTTTCTCACTCTTTGTACTGAATATGAACTTGGGTAAATATGCCTTTTACTTTCTCTTACCTACAAAGTGGGCCTTTATGGAGTTGTCATCAGGGGTGATTCATTGAGGAAAGGAAAAATGAAGTTGTGGTGTATAAATGATAGAAGAAAATAAAATCTTGTTTTCCTTCCATGTCATCTACCATTTTTTTAATAGGGACCCAATAAGATACTATGTAGGAAAGTCGTAAGCGGTGTTGTTATATAAATTCAAGTTTACATGTCCTTAAGCAAGTTACTTTATCTAGTTAGGAGCTGGCCTCCTCAAGAGCAATGATAAAAACTGTTCTCATCTCTTTCTACAGTGACACACCCCTGGGGTTGTCAACTGTATGCTCTAATGTGCATGTCTCCTGGGGCATGAGATGAGAATTAGATACTTTCTTTGGGAGAAAGGTGGAGAAAACCTACTGTCTCTTAACTACTGTTTTCTCCCTGGAAAGGTAGGACAAATCCTGTCTGGATGTGAGTATTTGGGGGTATATAAATAGTTTATGTTTCCCAGAAGAAGTAGTTCTTTATTATCAATTTCTTGAAGTAGTTCTTTATTACCAATTTATTTCCTTGGACAGGAAATTCAAACACACAGTCATAAGCTGGCCTCTGAGTACAAGGCTTTAGAAGCACCTTTCCACCCTAGCATGAAGACTCATGAACACAAGGTAGAAGAGAAACCACCAAAGAAGCACAAGGTGCCTCTGATGGCAGCAGGTATGATACTGGTGAGGTGGGCAGTAGCAGCATAGGCGGTGGTTGTGGGGGGTCAGTGTTAAGAGCTGAGCTGACCTGGAGAGGGCTTAGTGGCCAAATGTTGGAGTAATCAACTAAGGCTACAAATCAAAATGAAAGAAGTTAAGCCTTTACCCTCTTACTGAAACAGTATAAATAAGAGGCTGGGTAAGAGGAAGTACCAGCATCACACTGTTCTATTACTTACCCTGGAACTATTCAAGGTAAGCGTCAGATGCATTAGTGCAGACAGAGGGCACTGTCTCACTGCCTGGGGAGCCCCAACAAAAGACTTCTGTCATTTTACAGACTTAGGAACAGAGGAAAGTGAGTGGGGAGGAGCTAGGAGTGGACAAGTCCAGAATACTGAAAGTAAAGTGTCCTGAAAGTTCTGCCTTTCTCTTGACAAGGGGGTCTTGGCAGAGGTGCTTGAGGCAGGCCTCAGCTG